ATTAATCGTGCACGTATTTGCCTCTTCGAGATTTTATATACTTGAAATAAAACTACGAATACATTTTCAATTTTTAGTGCATGAAAAATGCCTAGTAGGTGCAGTGCTCCAAGATGCACAAATTCTAACAACGAAGGGTATTGCTGTGTAAGATTTCCTGAAAATAATGAATTAAAAAGAAAATGGATTGATGCTGCTGGAATTCCGGATTGGAATCCTCCAAAATCAGCAGTACTGTGTGAGGTTAGTATTGAATGCATACAGCTGTATATGATATAAGAGATTTTTTCCTAATGTACTTGTATCCTCATTTTAGGTTCATTTTGATCAATCGGCATTATACTGCGTAGGCAACAAAAAACTTATAAATAAAAATGTTTTACCAAATTTCTTTTGTAAGTGTGATATGATTCATAATAAAAAATATCGAGTTATAAAACAGAAAAAAAATTCCACAATGACAATGAAAAATGCAATTAGTGATCATAATTACTTTTTACGATCATTATGTCAGACTGATTGTGAGAATTATCAGATAAAATTGAGAAGAAGAAAAAGTTTGAGACAGTTTATTCATGATAAAAATTGTTGTGTAGTAAAAAAATCTGTGAATATAAAAATGTTAAAGAAATTAGTTACTAAAGGAGTACCTGTAAAAGAAGAAAATAGTTTGAACATGAAGTTCTTACAAGACTACAAAGGAATGCAAATGAAGTTAAATAATATTATACAGGAAAATAAAGTTTTAAGGGAAAGAGTTCATCGTTTACAAGATGATTTTATGCATATTAAGTCCTTTGGATTTTATGTAAAGCATTAATTCTTTGATAATGTTGGTTAATTTTGTACATATTTTTCAATTGCACAAACTTAGAGAGAGAAAGAGGTTTCTTTAAATCATGCATATAAAATTTTATGTAAGAATTGTATATTTTCAATAATTAGAAAAAGATATATGTTATAATATTCTTTGTTGGTTTTGCCATGTCACAAGCAATTGATAAATTTGCTAATAAAATTAATTAGTTTATCATAATCCATTAACGATTATTAAGATTGCAATTATTAGGCTTAAGTGAATCAACTGTTAGAATATTCTTAAAAGTCGCCAGATACGGTCAATAAAAATCACTGATGTTATAAAATGAATCAAATTGAATAATAAGTCAATCAATCAACTAATGAGTTCGGCTCCGAAAATTAATGACAACGAAACTTTGACGATATCATTAATATCATCAGGATTTTGTTTTTTAAACACATCAATTATTTGTATGAACTTTATTAATTCAAGTTATTCACGATTTCAGAAGTAACATCTTGTACCTGTGTATCATATTCTTAAACTGATTTGTGAGTAGCGTATGTTTGTTAGTATGTATAAAATATATAAGTAATAAAATAATTGTTAACAATAAAATGAGTTGTGTTTTATTTTTTTAATTACAAGAAATATAAAGACCTAGTTAGTCATAGAACTGAACATACATTAGTCATAAAATATATAAATACCTGTATTTATTTGAAAAAATTCTTTTAAACTTAATTCTATAGAAAAATAAACATTGCACAGTAACAACATACATGGCCATATCTATAGCGTGTGTTAACTTTGCACCCCAACTTTGCACCCCAACGAGTTCTGACGCGTTTATACTCGACAGTTGATCCGACCGATCTTCGCCGATCCGACCGATCTTCAACTGTCGAGTATAAACGCGTCAGAACTCGTTGCCCAAAAGATCGACGCATGCGAAAAACAAGTGAAAATCAATGCTCGTGGGAGACAGTTAACAGTTGCACGTCGAGGTTTATCTCATCACTTCTCGCGAAGATCTCGTGAAGAACGGTCGTGCTGAATCGTTGCGTTTCTATACTTTTATGTGAAAAGTGGTTGGTTTTCTTGATAGATTCTGCAAAGATATTGAGAGAAATAGTTTAGTTGAGCTGTAGCAGAGACAGGTAAATACAGAACTAACAATAAGAATATCACTGTACAGAAATAATTTGTAATTTAAGTACATATAATTCTTTTGTAATCTTTATTCTAATATCATTATTACTGAAAATGTATAAGTATGGTATATTCTTCCGGTACAGGTTTGTGTATTCGTCACATGAAAAGGATCTTTACAAGAAACATGTACGATGTAGAAAAATTGCGTTCTTTACTTACAAATGAAGTATACAGAACAGTAAATGAAGGTGGTCAATGTTTTTTACCTTCTAACGATGTATATAAACGCATTTCAATTGCCATGGGTGGAAATCCTTCCAGCAAGCATGTATATACAATAGTAAAGAATGATAGAAATGGTTTATACCAAGCAGTAGTAAACGCGTTTAATATTAAAAACACATCCATAGAAATAAATGCAGACTGCAGTTTTGATCCAAATGCATCGACAACTATATGCAAAGATAAATTTGATTTATTATTAACGTACGATGAATGGAAATGTATTAAACTTGTGAAAACTACTTATGAAGATGGCCGAACTTACCCTATATTACAACCAGGATGGACAAATC